TGGTTATTATTCGCTCATGAACGGATTTCTTTCCTTACCGCCACAGACCTCTTCCTTCACCATGTGGGACTTTGTTTACTGATACAGGATTCTTCCTTCACTACACTTCACTGATACGCTGAGACTGATACATTCCCTCACTACCCCGGGCTTTCCTTGACGGGTCCGGACTGCAACCATCACTTTGACAAGACTGGGACTCTAACCACCAGGAAGACCCCAAGAAGAGGATCAACGGGATGCCATTGGAACCCACAGAGTGGTGATATTTTTTCTACTTAATCTGTCTCTCTGTTACTCTCTCCCCCCACTCCACCCTCACTCTCTTCCCTATTCCTTTATATCTCTCTCTACCTCATATTTACTGTTAAATAAAAATCTGTACTATTGCCTTCGGCATATGGCCTTGTTTGCAGCTTAATTTTGTCAGAGGCATCTCTCTAATGATTTTAAAGAACCCAACCATAACAAGGTGATATCATAACTGATTTTATTTTTATAAGATATTCAGGCAAGTTTTACATAAAGGAAAACTTTCTCATATTTTCTCATTTGTCCATAATCTTGGTGGAAAATTACCTGCCCTTTAAGGTGTTTGCATTTAGGGCTTTTCATTCTTCCTTTTGAGTTGTGTCCTTTAGGATTGGCCAAGATTTCAGGTATTTTCCAGATATAAATTTCCTAATTGTCCTTGTGGTTCTGCTGTTTTACAGTTTGTAGAATTTCATTTACAGTGCTATAAACATGATTTTTTTTTTCATACAAAGTACAGACTGTTCTGAAGTTGATGCAGATAGGGATGATATGAAATTTCATCTTTTTTTTCAAAATATTGCATAACTTTAGAGTACACAATCATAGATATATCTAATATTAGCTAAGTTTGATTTTGCTTAGTGGCAGCTTGATAGAGAATAGGGGAAATATTTTGAATTGATAAAAAGTGTTCCTAGGAATGCTAGGTTGTTTAATTAGTTGGTGCTGTAATGAATATGTATTCACATAATATGTGTATTCACATATAGTGTGTTTGTGTCTGATTTTGTCTTTCTAAAGTACATGACCTGGTATATGTTGGTCCCCTTATATGCTGCTCTAAATTGAGCTCTTTGAATGTCAGGCTCTACTAGCTCCCCTCAAGTCAATTACATAATTTTTCCATTCTTTGGACACTCTATGTTCTGACACCTAGTGTAACACTAGGTTAACTTGACAGTCTGCTTTCTATTTTTCCATCATCACTTTTGAAGTCTGTGACAAGTCATTTATTTAATGATTAAGCAGTCTTTTAAAAGCCAAAATCTTATCTGTTTTTTGTAGGGGGATGGGGGAAGAGAAAAAAATTGTTTATAATAATGGCCTGCCTACATTCTGTTTTGTTATTGCTAGTAACCTTTGGCCAGACTACAAGAGCAGGTGTTTTGTTAATTTAAAATATTTTCATCCCTTAGCTTTAATTCAGCTGCAGTTCCTTTGTCCTTGCTGGGTTTCAGGTTCCTGTCCTTCTGGAGAAAGCCAATCCTGAAAAATCAAGAGAAGGTCAAGCAGAAGCCACTGACTGTCCCCTTGTCCTATAAATCCATCAGTTGTCAAACACAGAGGGTAGCTTCTGCTGATATTTCTTTCATGTATGTTTCTATTCTAATATTAATAATATTAGAATAAATACTTGAGGATGCAAAGTAGGAAATGTCTTCTTTCTCTTCTATCAGTCGTCTGCTCTTCTGATTCCTTTGCTCTCCATCCTCCATCCCTTTCTGTAAGGTTAGTTTTTGGTTACTGTCCCCGGCGTAAACAGTCAATCTATTCCAGTTATTCAGCCACACTGCTATAATTTATTTTTCATCTCCCAGGGAACGTAATAAAGTTTAAATTAACTCAGCTTGTGTCTTCAGGAATTAGGCAAGTAAATATTTCTCTACATGCTAATTAATTTGAGACTGTAAAGGATATTAGTAGGCGTTAGTTTTATGCCATGTTCCCCAGCTTTCTCTCCCTTACAAATTTAAGGACCTCCTCAATGGTATTTCCTTGTACTCCATCATTTTGTTAGGTACACATTTGATGAAAAAAAAAATCACTTTTCTGATTAGACTCATTGAATAATTTGTTATGCTCAGTCATGTTTCTTTAGTTTCTTCAGCCTAATTTTCATATTTTCTGATAGCAGTCTAGTTTGCTGGTAACATTTAGCTAAAACATAAATCATAACGTAGAGTTCATCTTGGCAGATAGTCTTCAGGTTGTGTGCTTTTGTAAGACGGGAAAAAAGCAAATAGACACTGGGTGGCAGATGAGCACTGTTATTGAGGTCACTGATTACGGAGCTTCTGTATGTATTCTAAAAATGCAGGCAATTTGTTAAAATTGGTTATTGTTCTGTTATGGCAAAATAAAAATGTACTTTATGTTCCATTTGTAATAAATATTGCTTGTACATTTTGCATTTGTTTTTCAAAATGCTTTTGTTCAGATCCCTTTCTTCCTTGCTTTTTGCTTTTAAGCGTTACTGTCATAATAAAGGGTAATTTGTGATGTCATTCCTGGTTCAAAAACATCAGTGACACTGGAAAAGGAGGATGCAAAGACTAAATTGATAGAATCTATTATTATCTCTACATAAAAGCCAAGGCCAAACAAAAAAGGGGGGGGTATCTGAGTTAGTAAAGAGAGTGCTCATCTTCTCATAGGCCTAGCTGGTATACCACAACGATACTCAGACTACCCAGATGCTTATACCCTATGAAACACCCTATCCTCCATCGGCTCCCTCATCTCCATAGTAGCTGTAATTATACTAATGTTCATTATCTGAGAAGCCTTCGCATCCAAACGGAAAGTAGTGCAACCAGAACTTACCTCCACAAACATTGATTTCATGGAAGCTTTGTGTGTATCACACTGTCAGGTATCTAGGTATAGTGTGTAATGCTTGTTGTCCCCTGGGTGTAGCAGATTTTTTCTGCACGTGTCAGGACAGAGAAGACCAGTAATAACTCTAAAAGGGATGAGATTCTTTTAAATAGTGCTGTTCTTTATTCTGTACAGTACCTACGTATCTTTCATGACTCAAAATACAGGTGCTTTCTTTGTTGTTGTCTGCAAAAGTATCCAGCTTAGAGATTTTGCTTACTTTTTGTACAGTAGGGTATGTTATCTTCTTTCTACCTTCTAAATTAAAAAAATATTCAGAAAAACAAAGTGTATTCCTCAGGAGACGAACCAGTGCCTGCCTATGTCCTTGCTACATCAGAAGCTGGATCTCATATGGCAAAACTGACTATTGGCTTCTTTCCATGTGCCAAAAGTTCACAGAAGAGTACCTGGTTATTGTAAAGCTGGGATCCATTAGAAAGGCAGACAAGAAATGTGACTAGGGAAATGAAACCTGGAATGGGATTAAACATGTTAGTCTCATTATTAGCTTTTTCTGAAGATTGCCAACCTTGTACCATTGTTTTGTTTGGAAACCGCCAAATTGCGGGGTTTGTTTTCAGTCTAATTAGAAGTGAACATGTCCTTGCCTCTGTAAAGACACAGAACTCATCCAAGTGAAGGTAGTAGCAACTTTTATAACAGAATATCCATTGTGATAAGTTTATTGTCTCATTTCAGGAAGGCAAAACACTTGCTGTAGTTTCTAAGCCAGATATTTGACAGTATAGCTTACCTCCTGTGCTGGGAGTTTAAGAAAGTATCTTCTGTCTGGCTGTGTCACCTATATGGAGCAGAGCTGACCTCCTTCGGTCAGAACACAGTTAAGGGGCTTCTGAAGAAGAAGAACTAGAGACAAGTGTGGTGTAGGGCTCAAGAAGACTTTGCTATGGTAACCCAGGATAATTCATCTCCCTCATCCAAGTATGAATCTTGTTGTCATGGTAATCTGGAGTACTTCATTCCTTCCCATCCACATATGCAGAGTCCCAAGCACATTTTATTTTGTGAGGTAGCCCTGGATAGCTTGCTTCCCCTCTCATCTGCACCCACCTTTGCACAGGCACTAATGTAATGAACAGCTGCAGAACTCAGAATTCAGACCACAGTACCTGCATTACATCAGAGTTCACTAGTGACCAAAACAGGACTTTACGTAGATATGTAAGGCAAATCAGTTAATCAATGCAAGTTTTATTATCCACCCCTGCAGTGCTGTCCTTTGAGCTATACTTCCAAGCAGGGTTCTACTCTATCAGGTCCCCCCATTTAGTGTTGGTATACCGAGGCTCCCACCACAGCAACGCTGTGCTTTCATTAAAGCCAACGCTTTAAATTGCTGAGTGTTGTACCTTGTCCCTGAGGGACTGGCATCTCCTTTTTGCTTGTAATATGTAGATACTTACACTCTCAGTTAGTAGGACACTGCTCTCATGCTGTATGGTTGGTTGGCCAAATTACACAATGTTTGTTTACTACATGCTGGCTCTCTGGAGCAAATACATTTCAAAAGTTATGGTGACTGTCTTTCAACACTATTTAATGATGACACATTTGCTGAACAAACATTAGAATATTGTAATTTCATATAAATATTTTTTATTTCTGCAGGAGGCTGATTAGAATGTTTAGTTCTTTTCCCAGTGAGGTGACTCCTGGTCATACTGAAAACAGTAAAAAATCAGCTCAACCAAGATTTAGCATGCTGTGTATAACACATACATTATACATATTTTGTAAAATATGCATTGTACTTGCATGACAATCTCTGTCACAGCATTGGACATTCTCTACAATATAACTATGTAGTGTGCTTTCAAGCTTCACAGTTCTCTCCATCTCCAAAAATTTTCCCAGCATCAAGAGTTGTTTACCAAGCAAAGCTTGCTTCTCTTTTTTTCTCTAAGCTGTGATCCACGCACCTGGCTCCTCCCTTGATCACACCATTCCCAAGATCATCATCCCCAGTTCTCCCAGCTTCTAGGAATAAAAATAATAAATCCCATTCTTCTGCTTTTTAGAACTGCCCACATATCTCACTTGGCTTTCTCTTTTTAAGTTATCTTATGGAATTCCATTTCCCTCACCTGGATTTCTTCCGTGTGTGCCCAGACACCTGCCTTGGTTTCCAAAGTAAATGCTATTATTTTTCTGAGGCTGAGGGCAATTGGATCATCAGTTATGAAACCTGCAAGGCCCTGGGAGCTTCACTGGCCATCATAAGCACCATGGATGAACTGATAAGATCTGTGCTTGAGTCTCTATGCCAGCACCCGGACAGGAAACATGAAAGCAAAACCAATAAAGTAAGATTCCAGCCCCAAACTGCACCCAGTGGTGTAGCCAGGAGCAGATACTTTGGGCAAAGCATCACCTCTGTGTGGGGTAATGGACAGAGATGGAAAAGAAGAGGTGGGGAAGACAAGACTGGCTAAACTATGATGTTTCTTTGCTTTACAGATTTTCATTATATGCTATAAGGGCGAAGCAAACCACAGTTTGCAAAAGAGGAACAGCAAGTAGTGGTGGACAGATAGCACAGCCTTCAACAGCAGGTTGGTCCCTCTGTCCATGTTGGGCACTTGGGTTCAGCCCCTGGGGCAGGTCTCTCTCTCAGTATGGTAGGACAGGGCCCTGGAGGGCTATTGCATTCATTGCTGCTCCCACCTTGAAGGGATTTCTTAGTGGATATGCGAATGATCCATCCTGGGATGGGGACCTTCTCCTGACACCATATCCAGGCTGCTCCTGGCTTTTGATAGGAGTTTTGAGATGGACCAGGGACTGCACAGCAATCCCCTACTGGATACCCTCAAGCCAAACACTACCCCTTCTCTCCTAGAGAGGAAATTTCAGCTTTTCTTAATGCTTTGCAGGTAGTTTTCTTCTTTTCCTCTTCTTGCTCTCCTGAGCATGTTGGCATTGCAGGTTTGAGGTGCAGGGTAATGGGCCATGTGCATAATTGAACCAAGGGAGGATCAGCTCATCCTTGAGCCCTACCAATAACAACTGGGTCTGCAGCAGACCTGACAACTATGTCCTCTGGAAGGGAAAAGAGACCCTGCAAACAGGACTGATCAGGAGACAGGGAAGAACTGTGCACAGCTTCCTTTGATAAATCCCTACATGGGAACCTATCACCAACACATAAGAATTTGTATTTTCATGAGACTTTCTGCCCAGACAAGCTGGATGGCCATTGCTGCTGGAGCACTGCAGCAGCAATTCCTATTGATAATTTCTGTTATTTGGAAAGCAGACTTTATCTAGAAGTCACTCAAACGCATAAGCTATGCATTTGGGTTGAATTAATATCAATGAATAGGTTTCTCTGCTTGACAAGGAGGTCAAAAAATGGCGGGGAGGGAATTTAGTAATAACAACAAAACCAATCAACCAAATAAAAACCCAACCTGCCTCCCCCCAAAAAATCAAAAAGCAAGCACACAAAAAAAAGCCAAACCAAAAAAACTACTCCGAAACAATCGCAACAAATAATCCCAAACAAAAAAAAAAAGTGCAAAAGACAAACCAAACCCTCCAAATCCCCAAAACTCGAGCAAAACCCGGCTGTCTGCATCAGTCTATGTGCTGACACTCTCAGCGGTGCTTGGAGAGACGCACACATGTAAGTTCTGTCACTCAGGAAAGCTTTTTTGAGTTGAAATTTCCCTTGTTTATATGTGAACCATGATGTGCCACCTGTGCTCTCACCTGAGTTATCTCAGTAAATTGAGGCAAACCACTTTAATAAGCTTTTATTGATGTTGTAGCTCTATCCTCTATCATCACTGTGCATGAGGCACAGGCTTTTCTGATTTCCCATTCAGGGGCTCATCTGTGCCTCCCAAGCTGGTCTTGATCCTTGTGGGAAGTGGATTTGCAAAGCCTGAAATCTCCTGCAAAGACATAATGATGAGAATGGGGCTGATTCCACCCCATCATCTCATGGGATGGGCATTTTGGGGTGGGCATGTGTCAGATGGAGGCATTGTGTTTCTCCTCGCCTCCTGCTGTTATTGGATAGAGCTGGAAGGGGTTTTTTTTGCAAACCCACTTGTGTTTCGCATCGCATCTATGAACCTCAAAGCCCTTGGCTTTTAGTGTCCCGCACCCTTCACCCATCTCCTCCAGGGAGGTGCCAAACCTGCAGAATAAAAATTACATTGCTTAAGAGGAGGAAACTTTCCCAGTTTTGCAGAAAAGAAGAGGTGTGGGGGGTTCTCCTGCTCTTTTCCTGCACTTTCTCATCATACTGCACCATTTCACTGGTGGGTGCTCAAATTTGAGAGGAACTGGTGTGCGCACAGTAAGATCTGTGAGGAGCATATGTGGAGTGTGAAAAGATGTGTTACTGCATGGGTCTGATGGGAGCTGTGGGGTTACTGCACTCTGCCAGCTTTTAGTCTGCAGAGCTTTAGCAGGGGGAATATGAGACCATTGCACAGAACCCAACATCTTGGAGAGATGGGCCAGGGCATGAACTGGGTCTGAAATGGAGCAAAGCTTCTTTTTACACCAACAGGCTGTGGATACACTCACATTTTGGGGTTGAAGGGTGTGTCATCCACCCATCTCCACTCCTTTTGATGCGACCTTACTCCAATCCACACTGGTGGTGGGCTTTTGCCTGTAATAACCTTGATGTGCTCCTGGAAAATGGAAGTGACCAGTTGATTCCAAAATCTCTCTGTGGAGGGCTTTGTGGGGTGCAAAGCCATGGAGTAAATACTTCCAAACTCATGAGACATGAATGTCCCCAATGCTTTGAATGCTTTTCCAAGCCCTCCTGCTACTAGGCACTATTTGTTTCCCTGCCCACTCAAAAATCAGGACTTTCGGGTCCTTTTCAAGCCTTCTCCCTATTTACCCTTTCTTTCTTTTCCTGGAGTACCACCAGCTGAGAGTCTTGATTTTTGCAGCTTTTTGTGCCTTGAGTCCAGTTTCCCAATTCCTCAGAAAGCCAGTAGCATCCTTCCCCATGTAGCTGCCAGTCCTGGGGACACAGCTTGCAGCCAGCATAGGCTGCAAGAGAAGAAAAAGCCATGAGACACCCCACAGGATGGTCAAGGTCTTCCCCAGCCACCAGCTGAAGGCTCTAAGGGCTTCCCCATCTCACACTCTGGCTCTTTTCCCATCCTTGAGTTTTTTCACATCATTGTGGTTTTTCCTGCTCAGCCACCAGACAGAAGGATGATGACTGCAGCTGGGTGACCACAAGGACAAAAATGCCTGGTGAGAGAGAGGGCAGGATGGTGAGGAATCTCCTCCCTTGGGATGACCCTGCTTCTCTGTGGAGGAGGGATCAGCAAAAATTGCATGGAAAAGATAATTCTTCCTTGCAACACTCTTCTTTGCAAAGTAACGCTTGGTGGCCTCGCAGCCCCAAGGGCATCCTTGCAGGAGAAGCCCTCCACAAAGCTCTCATCTGAGCATTCCCAGCAGAGCCAGGATGAATGGAGGATTACCTGTGGGGCTCTCCACTTGGGGCTTGCAGAAATACCGCACCAGGGATGAAAACATGTATTGCTCCTTCTGGTTCCTTCCCTGGATCTCTTCACCTGGCTGGGGAACTCTCATCACCACTGGCTGCGGAGAGCCCTGAAAAACTTGGAGAAATGATTGGGAGGGAGAAGCTCCAGACATTTGGGGATAAAAGCCAAAAACCTCATAAAATCAGGTTTCATTTTCTCACGCAGTTAATTAAGCCAGCCTGAAAAACACAGCTTGTATATTCCACCTTTTTTTAACAATAATGTTTTTAGCTTAGAGAGAACTTACTCTTGGTGGGTGATGTTGCATCTTTATGGGACAACCTCGTCCCCTCCAGAGGCTGAAATGCTTGAAATAAACCCTGATATCCCCTCTCAGGCTGCTCTCTGAGGTGTGAGATGTAGGTAAGAGCTGATTACTTACCCTGCACACTCAGTACCACCACCAGGACCAGCAGGATGAATTGCCCCAGCCCCCCGGCTTTGAGGAGGAGCCCGTGCCACCATGGACAGGAGTCAGGAGCTGAAAGAGACCATATTTGCTGAAAAAAAAAGGAAACATGAAAAAGCTGGGCTTTTAGAGGAAAAAGAAAAAGCCCCTCTGTCAACCTGGTGAGTTGGAGCAGAAGTTTACAGCTTCTTTGCTTCCTCTAAAAAGTAAATCACCACTGATGAGGTCTAGTGTGAGGGCATCACCCACGGGTGGTTTCTCAGATGGTGGAGGAGCTGCAGGAGCCTCAGGAGCAGCTTTGGGCACCCAGTGACGGACCTCGGGGGACCTGAAACCTTCTGAAATGGGATTAATTTTAGAGCTCCCAGCAGAACTGGGAGTCAGTGAGACATAGGTGTCCCCAGCTCTCATCTCCACCAGGATTCCAGACAAGATTTCAGCAGCTTTCCTTCCCATTCAGGCGTGTTGGCTCATGTTTGGCTTCTTGGACCCATTCGCCTATAGAGTCTCAGAAGCAAAACTGTTCTACTTCCAGATGTTTGTCAGCCTCCTCCATCCCCTTCTTGCTCTTTTTCCTCCTCTTTTCAAGCCAGAATCCCACCTTAGAAGACATTTAGCCCATCCAATGTTCTCTGCAATCTTGGAAACCTCAACACAGGAATGGAGAAGCAAGCAAACCCAAGAGCAAACAAACTCAAAAGTCTTCCCAAAGCTTGAAATAATCATGTTTCCCCAAAACAGGACTTACCATAACGTTTCTCAGCAGGAGAAGAACCATCTCCAAGATGCCTTAAATCAGCATAAACAATTTCTCCAGCCATGGCCACTCAGAAGGTTACAGGACCAGCCCAAAAGTGACAGTGTCCTTGGACAACCTTTTGCCTTGTGAGCTATCTACTCATGCCTTCATCCGGTTGCAGGAAATGGTATTGACCAGGGCTTTTATCTGTTTTTTTTTCCTTTTTAATATACATATACGGTGAGGGAATGGGTGTCCTCCAGCCAGAAGGAGATGGCACATCTGGAGTAGGTGGCATGCCTGGAGGTGTAGAAACACCTATGGGTTTGATGGTTGTGTAAAACATCTGTGAAAGCATGCAGAAATTAATAAAAAATAATTTAGGAAAGCCTTTAAATAAGGTTTTTCAGGATAAGGCTGAAGTGTGTCAGGGGCTGTATCAGTGTGGCCACAGGCAGGTAACCAGATGAGGAGGCAGGTGGCATTTCGTGTTTCTTCTCCAAAATATGGGCTGGGAGTGACTTGAGATGCCTTTTGCTCTGTGTGACTTTTTCTGCTGTTTTTGACACAATATTTGGCCTATGTTTGATCCTATGTCAGGGAGATCCCGTGTGGTCAGGAGTGGCCTAGCTCCTGTTCTCACTAGGAGGAGGTGAGAGTCTGGATTTCCTGCAGGCTGCTACTGAATTTTATTATTTTATTTTATTGCTTTATTTTATTTTGATTTTGAGTTTTCTCCTGCAAGCCCATCCCTTCCACTCCTGATGTGTCCTCTTACACTACCCAGACCCATGCTTCCTCCCACATTTGGGACACCTTGGCCACTGATTGGAATGACCACCAATTCCCAGCCTATGCTGACCATTTTCCCTCCCTTTCTTCATTTTTTTTGGTGTTAACTCAGGTTTTGACCACTGCTGTAACACTCCCAAGCAACACCTTTTCGTAGAGTTAAAACCAATGTTTTTTGCCTCAGACACCCAGAAAACAGCAAGAAAAAAAGTAGAAATCTGCCTCAATACCTGCCAGCAGCAAGAAATGGGGTAAAAAGAGGATAAACCCAAAGGTCCAAAGGTCCCAGAAGGAAAAGCATTGCATTATTTTATTTTTAATTAATTTAAAAAAAATTTTTAATTTTATTTTGGGTTTATTGTTCTTATTTTAAACAATTTTTTATATTTTTATTATCTCATGTTTATTTTTATTTTATTTTCCACCCGCAGAGTCTGTTACCCTCACAGAAAGTTTTTGTGGTCAGCTGCTGTCAGTCAGCTTTCCTGCCCTCTGCAAAAGCAGCCCCTCCAGTGGTGTGTGACCACTGATTACAAAAAAACCCTCAGAAATGTAAAATAAAGTAGGGTTTAGGGTAAAATCCTGCAATTGGGTAGCTTAATTGCAAGAGCACTTATGTTTTACATTTCTATATTTAAAAAATGGTAAAATTGGCTGAAGGGAACTGCACTTCATCCCTGAAGTCCCTTTTGGGGTGCCTCAACATCCCAGGGCAGAGCGATCCCCATCAACATTTCCCCCTCCTGCACACCAAAAAAAGCATTTTTGGATAATCTGTCTTCCCCAGCTGAGAAAAAAAGCTGTAAATGCAGGAAAAGGTGCTGAAGGGGGTGCAGGGTGGAGCTGAAGTGGAGCCCCTGGTTCGGTGGGTGGACAGGCAGGTGGCCCTCGGGCAGGCAGACCCATAACCCTGTAGGAGGTGCAGGAAAATCCCTGGGAAAAAAACTATAAAATAAACCAAAATAACTTCTTTTTCATACTGTGTTTCTGTTTCTCTTCACAGAGAAGGTTATGCCTCAGCATCTGGCTTGTTCCCACCGGGTGAGGGGGCTTGGGATGGGCTGGGGGACTAAGGGGAGGTGGTCTTAAGTTTTAAGTGTGGAAGAGAATTTCAGTTGCTGGGAGAAGTTTTAATTGCTGGAGAAAATTTTAATTGGGGGAGAAAATTTTAATTGGGAGAAGAAAACTTTAATTATGGGGAGAAATTTTAACTGTGGGCAGAAATTTTCAATTGAGGGGATTTTAATAGGGAGAGATTGTTTTAATTGGGAGGAAAAAACTTTAATTTGAGGGAGAAAACTTTAATTTTGGACAGAAAATATTAACTGAGTGGAGAAGATATTATCTGGGAGAGAAAACTATTGAGGAGAAAGGCTTGTAGGGAGGAAATTTTAATTATGGGCAGAAAATTTTAACTGAAGATGCTTTAATAGGGGAAGAAGACTTTAATTGAGGCAGAAAACTTTAATTGGGGGTGAAAGTTTGATTGTGGGAGAAAACTTTAATTGCAGGGAGAAAAATTTAATTGAAGGGTGAAACGTATAAGTAGGGGGAAAAAACTAACTGAGGGGAGAAAACAATTTGGGGAAGAAAACTTTAATGGAGGGAAGTTTGATTGGGGGAGAAAATTTTAATTGCAGGGGGTAGATTTTAATTGTGGGAGAAAACTTCAACTCGGGAGAAAAGTTTCATTCCAGGGAGAAAATTTTAAATATGGGGAGAAAACTTAGAGCGCTGACAGCCTTTGTGGTACCTCTGACAGATGGAACTTTGCTTGGCAGGTGAAGCAGGAGCAGCTGTATACGTGGAACCCCAAAAATGGAAGAAATGAGAGATTATTCCAGATTTTTGGGCATGGAGAGGAGCAAGAGGGCAGGTAATTGTAGGGCAATGAACTGAAGAATCGCTGGGTTTGTTTTTCTTTTTAATACTTCTGTAATTTGAGAACAAAACCCAGCTGAAGTAAGGTTGTCAGGGGGTGAGGGGAAAGCTTTTTCTAGCACTTCCCTTGAGGGAAAATTTTTGTCACTCAGCAGATGGAACTTTTGCTCTAAACAGCCCCATTTCAGACACTGTGGGTTATTTTCATTTAGGATTAACCCTTCCTGAGGCACTCAAGTATATTTTTTCCACAAATATTCCAATTTTATGATTTATTTTGGATGAGAATAAAGAAATTTTTGAAGAGTTGAACTGGTAAGAGCCCCAAAAAGAAGTTTGGTCTTTAAATGCAACTTGGACACATCAGCAAAATATTTATTAACTACTTCTTTCCCTTCAACACTGCCCTGTTTCAGGTCTCCTTATTTTGCTCCCATCTCTATCATCCTCTTGGTCCACAATAAGGTAAAAAAGCAGCTTTGGGAGTCTTTTCCATCATCTCAGTCTAATCAACCAGGGACTAAGATTTTTGGGGAATTTTTTTTTTATTTAGAAATTTGTTGATTTTTCCTATTTGCTAAATTTTTTTAATTATTGATATTTTTTATATATATATGGGGGTTTTTTTAAATTAGCTGGCATATTTGGTTTCTGACTTACTTTCTAATAACATTTTTCCAAGAGGAAGAGGGGAAAGGAGGGTTTGTCCCATGAGGTTTGGTTCATGTGATAGATGGGGACAAAAAGGGAAAAGCTTAAATATAAAGTGGGGGTAGTCCCATGAGGTGAAACCACTAATATTTTTAGGTAAAATTGCTAGGAAACAGAATTTTCTTTGCTCATAGTGAAGGGAAAGAGCATATTCTTGATCACAGGACCCAGAGATGGAGGCACCATGACTTGGATAATTTTCAAGACCCAAAGTGTCTCAGTTTAGGTGGAGAAAAAACCTCCACTGAACTTTAACAATGAGGTAGAACCCAGAAATTAAGGCATGATTTTAATTATGGTGCATCTCAGGAGTTTCAAGCTGGAGCTGTGGAGGAGATTCTCCATGGAGTTTCCATAAATTTAAAAAAATATATAATTTTGGAGAAGAATTTTTTTATATTTCTCTCACAAAATGACACCAAGTCCCCTGGCACGAGGGAGAGACCAACCTGTCATCATCTGGGCATGACCTGGAGCATGTTGTTCCCCTGGAAACTCTCACAGAGGCACTGAAGGTCTGTTCTCCTGCAGGTCACAGCCTGGACATGAAGCCGGAGGCACGTGTCGCCTGCCAGGTGATGCTGGCAGCACTCTTCATGGCTCTGCTTGTCACAGCCATCACTTTTGCAGGTTGGTTTTAGGTCTCGTGAGGAATGTCTCTGAGATATTTTGTGTTGTTGCACATGTTGCACAGACCTACCTCCGCTTCTTCTGTGGAAGACAGAGCCTACCCAACCTGCTGTCCTATTCAGGAGAGGGACATTTCAGAGTAGCCTTTCCACAGAAGACCAAACTCATCCCCTTGGTGCAGGAGCTGATGTCATCCAGAAGTCCTTAGAAAACCAACAGGAAGAGCCATTTCATACATACAGCCACCCAAAAGTATTGTTTTCAGAGAAGAATGGGCCTAGAGACAATGGCTTGAGTCCCAACAAGCTAAGAAGTCTCCAGGAACAGGAGAATTTATTTTCTATCATTTTCACTACTTTTGTATTAATGATAGAGAGAAACACCCAAGAGCATATTAGGGATAGGATTATTTTGAAATTCCTTTTAAAACTGCAGTTTTCTGAAGGCTATCACCCTGTTTCTTTCTTTGAAGGTGCGGCAATCATGTTTCTTGGTCAACACCACAAGCTGGGCCATGATTTGAGCTTATTTTCTCCCATGATTTCTCTTGGTATCTTAATTTTTCTTTTTACTCACAGTTGAGGCAGATGTAAGACCTTCAGAGACCATTGGGTGGAGGATGACCTCCCCACTCAAGAGATGCAAGGGAAAGGTGCTGCTCCTTAACACTGTTCTATTTTTAATGACAGTGCAGGCTTTTCAGCCTCATCCCCAGCCCTACTTTCAGTGCCCCTTCGACTGGATCAGATATAGAGGAAAATGCTACTATTTTTCGGAGGCTGCAGGGAACTGGACATCCAGCCAGGACAACTGCTCAGCACTTGGTGCTTCCTTGGCCATCCTGGACAGCATGGAAGACTTGGTAAGGAGACAAGAGGACATGCTTAGCATCAGGAAAAAAACCCCAAACCAACATATTTGACACCTCATGGTTTCTTTGATTGGTCTTCCTTGGAGACCTGGGGCAGGAACTTGGGGAAGAGGGTTTTCTTGAGGCTTGGTCATCATGGCTCTCCTGAAATTCCTCACCAAAGCCAACTGCTGCAAGAACTGTAGCTATGGGACACATCTTGTTAGCAGATGGAAAGGTTCAAGCCCCAAAGAAGCCCAAAAGGAGCACAAGTAACTGGTAAAATGGAGATTTTTTGTTAGGAGGTAAAAACCTTTTTTCCTCTTTTTTAGAGCTTTGTGATGAGATATAAAGGCATTTCAGAGCATTGGATTGGCCTTTTGCGGAAAGATGAGGAACAGCCATGGCAATGGGTGAACCAGTCACTTTTATCACACTTGTGAGTCTGTGTTTGTCATCGTTACGTTGTTAGTTGGTGTTTCCCCAGCCACGAAATATGCATTTCTTCTGGCACTTGAGGTGCATCCAGAGGCAGTAATGGGACAGTGATGTTTGGGAAGGGCAACACTGCATCTTGTTTCTCTCCTTGACCTAAGATATGGGAGTGGTGTGTTTGGTGAGAAAATACTGAAATTAGATGTTTTATTGTAAGTTTTTTTTTTCTTGCAAAGCTTTGGATTTCTTATTAGAAATAGAAATAAATCAGCATCAGTGTTGGCATATTGATGCTGAATAATTTCTACTCCTATATAAGAAATATATATTGATATTTTGACATGTTGATGCCCAAAAGGATGCCCAAGAACTGAAATGGGGGGAAGCCTATTTGTGAATTTTCTCCTTTTTCCTGCTGAGCCTGTCTGAGGGGGATTTTCTCCTCTGTCCTTCCAGGTTTCAAATCCATGGTGGTGGGCTCTGCGCTTACCTGGATGACAATGGGCTCAGCTCCTCCTACTGCAGCACTGAGAGGAGCTGGATTTGTAATAAACCTGAGCTGCAGAGCTCAGGCAAGGGCAGTGGGATGAGACGGGCTAAAAACCTCTGTGTCAGCTCCTTGGGTGCTGAAGGGAGGGCTTCTCACACTCAGATACCTGCTGCACCAAACCTCAAAAAGGCTTTGAATCCCCTGCATGAGGGGTTCTTGAGGGTACCAGGGGACCAACAAGGTGTTGATGGGAAAGGGCAACCTTTGGAGACCCATGTAGGGCAGTCCTAGGGGATCCTGGGGGCTAGGGCAGCCTTGGGGGGTCTTTTTAGGTCTAGGGCAACTTGGTGAGAGGTCAAATGCAGACACCTCCTGCTTCTTAGAAAAAAAAAATTTATTATATTCTGAGCACATTTATATAAATTGCATGTTAATTACTTGGAAATACATCCTGAGCATGGAGAGGGAAAGAGTGGGCGAAGTGAGTGTGAGCACATCCTTGTGATGACAAAATCAGCAGCTGGCATAAATGCAAAGCCTGCAAAAATTAAGATTTTTAATTTGGGTTGAAAGCCTGGCCAGTGATGGGCATTGGGTCAGCAAAGGAATTATCAGAGAAGGCTATCTGGGAGGAAAAGTCAAGTTTTCAGGTCAAAACCAGTTCAGTGAAGCCCTGCTTCTGTTAACAAGCTTTGAATTAATTTAATGACAGTGGCTTTGAGATGAGACAAGCTGTGGTGAGCTCAGGCTCAAAATCCCCTAGACATAACCCAAAATAAAGACATCTATGATGAAGGTAGGACCATGAGTTGAGCTGGAAAGGACTCCAAGACCTGGAAGAGAAGACTGGAGGAGCATCAAGGAGCATTCCAAACACCATGGTGCAACCAGCTGTGGAAGGATCCTGTCAGCACATCAGCCCTTGGGGGACAGTTTGATGGTTGAGAGGAGCACACAGAAGTAGGGGAAGACCTTCTCTCCACTGAAGGAAGCCACAGGGAAGGTGAAGATGCACTGGCGGCTGCCAACAGCATAGAAGGAGACCTGTCCCACCTCGTAGTCCAGGTAGACCCCAATCTCCCCATTGAGGAGTGGGATGGAGGTGTTGGATGGAGCCGTGAGGGCAACACAGAGCTCATCATACTTCTGCAAGCCCCAGATCTCAGCACTGGGCTTGAAGAGGACCCGGCCTTTCCTCTGAACCGACTCACGGGCCACTCCCACGGCCCAGAAGCGCCCATTGGCCTCCACCTCCCAGTAGTGACGGCCTGAGGTGAAGCCCTCACGGCCCAGCATGCACGGATCTGTGTCAAACCGGCCGGGACCCTCAGGCCACCGGCGCTGAGGTCTGCCCCAAGTGGCCTCTTTGAGGTCCTCGGAGAGGATCACCTCAGGACCCACTGTGGCTGGATCCAGGGTCACATCCACTGAAAAGCAAGACAGAGAAGGGATCAGAAGCCACATTTAAGTGTAGAGGAGGCACCCAAAAACCTGATTCAAAAGTCACTGCTGACTTTTCAAGGAGAAAGGGAGAGGAGGGGTGAGGTTGGAGATGGAAGAGTGAAGAGGTGGAGGTTGGAAATGGAGGATATCCAGCTCAGGTTGGAGACAGAGAAGTCAAGAAAAGGAGACTCTCCAGTTGAGACTGTAGAAGGAAGAGATAAAACATGGATGCTGGAGATGGAGGATCTCTGGGCCAGGTTGGAGATGGACGAGTCAAGACATGGAGGCTGGAGATGGAGGACCCAGGGATACAGAAGGTGGAGCTGGAGAATCTCCAACTCATTAGACATCTCATTTGATGCAGCCCAGAAAACACTAGGAATTAGTACTTTGCTCCTGCTTTGATTACCTTCAAACTGTTTGGCAGTGTGGTAGTCCAGGGCAAGGTCCCATGTGCATGGCCGTGGTTTGAGGAAGAAAGCCATTGTGCCTGCAGTGTCCTCCCCTCCTGGCTGGAGGCAAGAGAAAGGGAAAGAAAGGGAAGGAAAAAAAGAAGGAAAGAAAGAAGGAAAGAAGGAAGAAGGAAAGAAGGAAGAAGGAAAGAAGGAAGGAAAGAAGGAAGGAAAGAAGGAAGGAAAGAAGAAAAGAAGGAAGGAAGGAAAGAAGGAAAGAAGGAAAGGAAGGAAAGGAAGGAAAGGAAGGAAAGAAGGAAAGAAGGAAAGAAGGAAAGAAAGAAAGAAAGAAAGAAAGAAAGAAAGAAAGAAAGAAAGAAAGAAAGAAAGAAAGAAAGAAAGAAAGAAAGAAAGAAAGAAAGAAAGAAATCAAATTATTGTCCTCCAAACAGGCCCTTATCAGCTTTGTGCCCATTTTTATGTCAGGAAATGGGCTCAACCACCACATCTAATCCAAATACTTCAAGAAAATGCCAATTTTTTTCTCCAACAGTTGTAACAGAGCTTGTTTCATTTATGGAAAGACCCGTGGAGAGCAGTTAAATCAATTAATTTCCAATGACTATGAAGGGAACATGAGGAGCACATTTGGATGGACCCATCTACCTTGTAGATATTATTATAACCCAAACCCCCATTCCTTGTGCTGGTTCAGGGCTGAATCCGTCTTAAATACATCTCTGCCTCCACCATTCATCAACCAAATCTGACAAGGTTTATTTGAGTGAGGAAAGTCCTTAAAATTAAGATAAGCCAAGTCTACCTCTCATGTCCAGAGAAATCCTCTGAGGGGGGGAGAAATTTGCTGCTGGTCCTGGAGAAAATGTGTGCAGGGGAGATAAGAGCTGGCACTGAAGGGCCTAAAATCCATCCTCCAGAACCTGGGGCTTTGCATGCAAAAAAGGGCTTGCCTGCACTAAAGGGCCCTGGAAATGAGTAATAAAGCCAAAAATGGTTGAATAAATCGTGTTGTAATGGTTGAAAATGAACAGGTTGCTTCATTTTCTTGTGTTCATTTCCTCAGCAAATCTGCAGAAAGGGGGATTAAAGCAGCAGGGGGATGAGTAAAAGTGAGGAAAAGGTAAGAAAATCACCCTTAAATGAAGACAAAAGCAGGAGACATCCTCTTTCTCACCCAGATTTCCCCAGATGGATTGTTATGAGCAAATATCACCATGACCCTCCACTGCAAAACACCATGAAATCTGAAACAGAGACCCTGAGGTCAAAGCAAGGGCAAATCCACTTTCCTTCTTGTGTTGATGTGACGGAGAGAAAGCTCAAAATCCCCTTTTCCCCCCCAAAAGACAGCAAGTTGATGTAACCACCTCTCAGCACTGTGAGTTCCCCCCTCTCTCAAACCTTTTTGGTGTTTTCCTTGGTGTCACCGGTGCTGTTTTCGGGTTGCTTTTCCTCCACTGTCTGCTTCTCCACTGGATTTGTTTCCACTTGGGATTTTTTTCTCCCCTCTCTGGCACAGGCTCAGCCAAAGCTCGGTCCTATCTCTGCCTCTGCCAGTTTTTATCGGTCAAGAAGGGAGGAGCCCTCTAATCTCTCACCTGCATATGGGGCCATGACGTGCTTTGACATTTCCTGCACCCTCTGATTGCACTTTTTCTCCCCATTTCAGGGCCATTTACTTTCAGGCATTGGAGAGGGAAGGGAGGAAAATTAAGACAGCGCAAAAAATATGCATTATTGCACGTCACCACTAGGAAGAAATTGGTTAAATTTTGCCCCCTAGCGGCCCAAATCTGGCTGTGGCCCCTTCTGCACAATGGAGCTGAACAAGGCAAAGCAGGGACAAGGCTGAGAGCAGATTCCAGGTGAGGGATGAGACGGCAATGCCTAGAAATGAGACAACGTGGGAGAGATAAAACATGTTTAAAGAGAACTGTGGGTGAGGAAATTTGCTTTTCCCACTGGGGCAGGTTGTGCTGGGAGCTGAGCGCAGGAACACCGAAGGGCGGTTCGATGGCAGGCAGCTTCACCCTGTGCCACTGCCAACCACCAGCATTGCTTTCTCCTCACGGGAGGGCAGCATGGCCACAGCAGTGGCACAAAACCGGCATGCTGAGACCAGCCACAACTTCCTCTCTCAGTGTTGAAGAGGCAAAAACCCCTCGGGGTTGCATGGGTGCTGGAGGCAATGGGTGAACCACCACAGATTGTGGTCATGAAGATTTTTGGGGGACCTGTAGACACCTGTGAGGTGAGATCAGCTTCCTAAAACCCATCAGACTTTGCTCCCTCCCTTCCCGCCCTCCCTTCCCCCAAAAAATGGTGCAAAATGAAAATAGTTTAATTTCTTGGTGGGAAAGCAAAGCTCCAGTGCCTGGTTGTGGTTGTAGGAGAAACATAAAGTGAGTTGATCCCTGCTTTCCAGAGAAGGCAGCAAGGGACCATTTTTTGAAGATTATGTGCTTTCCTCCCCAAAGAAATTAAGACTTTAAAGGCAGAATTATACAAATTATCTGGGCTGATCACTTACATTTTTTTTAAATAATTTTTTATTTTTATTTTTTTGTATATTCAGGAGAAAATGCAGTCTCACCTGCTATCCCTAAGGAAGGTGTTGGCAGAGTTTCTAGACTGGAGAGTGAAGGCAGTTTCTAGACTGGAGAGTGAGCAAAGAGAAGCATCATCGGGACTACCTGGTACAGGGGGCCCCTTGGTGTTTTGACAGTCCAAATGGGTATTTATTTTTCCCCAAAACCCTCTGGAAGAAACATGCAGGATCATCCATGAGGTATCCTTGTGCCCTGCAAAGCCTCAAACCTGGTTGGAGTGGTTGGTGCAGCTCCTGGGCAGGTTTGACCACCTCCATGTGCAGATGCTTATTATCAACACTTTTAATCACTGCATTTTCATGGCATTGCTCATTTTCATCCCAGACTGCTTCCTAAAGGGACATTTGTTAATATAGAATTAACCCTCCCCCATGCTTTCCAGGGCCTGACATGGTTTTGGCAGAATATAAACAGGAATGGCAACAGGGGAGGGGAAAGAAGGAAAAGCATGGGGTGAAGTGCTTAATTATGCTGCAGTCACTAATTAGCCACATCCTCAGCTCTGCCCCAGTGTCACAGCCCCCCTGGCTCCAGCCAGAGTGCTTTTGTTCTTTAGCTTGAAAGGGAAAGTTCAAGTCTGGGGTTACACAGGGGTTTTCTGTCTCATCCAGGAGACGAGCAAGGCTGAGCGGCTCCGCATCGAGGCCAAGTTCGAGTGGCTGTGCCACTGGAACAGAAGCATGTGGTCCTGGGGTGGCTGGTGGAGCTGAATGACTCCTTCACAGCTGCCCAGGCCAAAAAATCATCGCAGGTGGCTGAGGGGATCACACAGCTCCATGGGCTCATGGGGCAGCTGGAAGCCAAGCGCTTGTCCCAGGTGAGAGCCCTCCTTACCCAAAAGCCCTTCCAAAGTGCTGCCTATGAGAACTTGAACCATCCTCCCCCTTTTTTCTCCCTTTTTATTTTTAGGATGTTGGGAGCATAGTAAGCAGGTATGTAGAAACTGGTCACTTCCCCCCCTTGTCACCCCACCTGTGGAGAGGCATTCAAATATCCCTCGCACAGCATCCCTCTCTGTCATTTATCTTCCCAGCTGTAGTGAAATAAGGCTTCACTTCCCCTCTGGGCTCCCCATGGAGCTTGAGAAGAGCCTGAGCTCCTGCTGCTGCCAGCGGAATGAACTGCGAGAGGACCTGGAGGAGTTCAGAGGTATCTGGGGAGAGTTCTGGTATTTTAGGAGAATTTGGAGGCATTTTGGGAGGAACACAGAGGTATTTGGGATAATTCAGTTATTTTTGTCATAACTCAGAGATACTGGGGGGGAACTCAGAATTATTTTGGAAGGAATTTAGTGGTAGTTTGGGATAATTCAGTTATCTGGGGAGAAGCCAGAACGAAGAGGAGGTTGTCCAAGGGGAGGCAGCAGCAGGCTCAGCACCCACTCACCGCTCATGTCCTTCCCTCCTCCCAGGCATGGGTGCCTGCATGAGTCTCCCTGCAGTGAAGGCAACCCTCGAGCCTGGCATGGCTCCTCTCCCACAGCTCTTGGCAGACAGAAAAAGCATGTGGTGGGATGAGGAGGAGAAGCAGGATGAGGCTGGAGAGGCCCAGTGAGGCCAGGAGCCAGCTGGCAGCTGACAGGGGGTCTCCACCGGGAGATGCAGGACACAGACACAGTAGCTGGACTCTGCAAGGTGCTGCCACAGCCCAGAGCCTGGGGTGCTGCCCGTGTTCCCCAGGACACAAATGGCTTTTTGTCGAGCTTCCCTCCCAGCTCAGATCTTGTCACAGGACAAGACCTGTTCTGCCCCAAATTTACTGCCAGCAGTTACTCTGCTGCTTTAACTAGTGAGTGGTCTTGCGCTGCTGCTCAACATGAACGTCATGAAGGAAAAAAATAGGAAAAAAACCTCCAGATTTTTTTTGCGTGTGCATAGGATAGATATTACGGCTTCTGCAGGCTAGGGAGAGAGCAGCAGGCTAGTGAGAGGCAACGGGATACATAGGTCCGAGTCCTTGGGTGCCGAGTGGCGGACCTATCTCGGTGCTTAAGTGCTCGGAGGACTTGACTGCGAACACCATGCCCTGCTCCTC